TTGACCATAATAATTAGAAGCAGAAAAAATGAGTCTAGCTCCAAAACCCTTTCCTCTGGAGAACAGGGGAAAACTACTCTTATGATTATGTAAGTTGGGGTGAGTGGCAGTTTAGAAGCTGTAGAACAACAAAACATGTTCATTCCATGCCGGTTCTTAAATTGCTTACTTTGTTAAATCAAAGGAGATTGAAGGTGGAGGATTGCTTACAGATCAACTGGTGTTGGCCTTTCATTCTGCAATTAACTGAGGCACCTAAATGGTAAATGACTTGCTCGGGCTCCTCTGCAAATTGGCTATGGTTCTAGAGTCTCCTGATATATCATTTTATTCTGAGATACCACAGTTGGGGCAAATCATACCAATTTATAATTCTAGTCCTTGGCTTGTTAATTACTTAATGGGCCCCTGTCCCATACTATAAGGGCAAATTTGGGCAATGAGCTTACAACCTCATTGGAAAGAAGTCACTGAAAGCAGACAGTGAAACTGAATCCCATACAATACCGACTCCAAGAATCTACTAACATCTCCAGCTGAATTTCCTCTTTCCTGTGCCCGATTCCAGTCTGAGGCACCCTTTACAGAGCCAATGATGGAAGGCTCCAGGAAGCTTTCCCTGATGGCCTCTGGGACACTGGAAGGATTCCTTCTCCAAACTTCTCTTTGCAGAGAACAACAGTGTGTGCCAGCTGTGTGGGGGTGCACTGGCTTGACAAACCCAATAGCATCTTCCCCACCCTCTTCCCCACCCCTTCCCACACGTTATGCCAAGGGGAACCACCTAGGAGAGCTGCCTGGTCATGCCCTGTACCCCAGGTGCCCTGTGCCAACTGATTTCTCGAGGGAAATGGTCTGTGTTGTTGTATCCCCAGGGTGGGCAGAAGCCATTTGCACTTGCAATTTTTTTCCATTAAATTGGTACATTTTAGATACACAGTACAGTTACATTATCATTGTTATTTTGTACCTTTTTTTGGTAGCAGGGATCGAACTCGGGACCTTGTTCTTGCAAGGCAGGCGCCGGAACCACTGAGCTAAATCCCAGCCCTGGGATCTTGTACCTTTTCATGGTGTATCTTGGTTCTTATTTTTTCCCCATTCCCCTGCCCTCCCTTTGCACTTGCAATTAATGAATGGCATTTGCAGATGTAGCCTGAGAGTCACCCTTGGTGTGACAATGCTGATCCCTTCACTGGAACATGCATTTTGAAATATGTTATGAGTCATGGACATTAGCACCATTAAATTGTTCTCTCTTAAACTTGCTCCACCAAGTTCTGTGCTAGAAGGTTAGTATATTCTCGGACAAGAAGATTTCTTTCATGTGTTTTGGTTGGCCTGAGTCCTGTCTTGCTCTGGCCAACACTACTCTGTTCTCCTCCAGCTTGGTCCTCCAGAACATGAGTCTCCCTTGGTCCCAAGTGTTATCAGTATTCAAGTATACTCGAGCCCCTAAGTACTATCAGTTTCTAGTCCTTTCCAATTCTCCACTTCCCCTTGTTGTGTCTTTTCTTCCCATAATACTGAGAGCAGCAAACACATTTTCATCAGTAAAGAAATGGAAGGAACACAGGAAGTCTGGATGTAGACAGTTCTTAAAAAGGGCAGCTGTGATTATAATTAGATAGGATCCTAGTGATTCCTCCCCAGTTTCCCCTTGGGGCAAGGGTCAGAACCACCCTGGCAAGCAAAATGACATTGGATTAGGCCATAACAAATGACCAGTAGGCCTTGCCTGACAAATACACATGGCCAAAACAGACAGAACCACAAGGGCACAGGGATGTTCATATACCTCATGCACCAGGGCTGGCACTACTGGAATTCCTAGAAATCAAATTATGGGTAAATAGAAAGATGGAAAGAAAGGCTAGAAAGTTGACAGGGACCAAATTGTCCATCCATTCAATTCATCCAAAATATTGCAAGCTAAGTGCCAGACACTACTAAGTGAGAACGCATAGAGCAAGCACAAATCTCCACCTTCTGGAGCTTGAATCTAGAAAGCAGAGTAAGAAAACACAGAAGGTGCTTGTTGGAAGAGGTCAGTCCAGGTCTGAAATCTGCTTCTGCAATTTAATGCATCTAAGATTTTAGGGCAGCAACTTCTCTATTGTGCGTGGATATAACCACACCTACTTGGCGGGCCAGATGGATAGGACAGCTCTGACTTGAGGACAGGGACCTGTGCAGCCCCTGCCAGGAGGAACTAACATTTAGGAGTTGATGATGAGGTGGAGCCAGTAAGAACTGTTTCGTTTACCACACTTTGGAGCCAAAAGAACCATTTCCCAGTTCCTTGGCTCCGGAACGTGCCCGGTCATCTGCACTGAGCGACATCTTGACAAGAAGTCATGTTGTCTTCTTGTGGTGAGTCAGTGCCCCCAAATGTATACTTTTTAAATTTTTTGCCTTAAAATCTAATGTTTCAAATATTGTTCAAGGAAGCTAAGTCGATTCATAACCCTAATCTTTTTAAATTGTAGTAAAATATATATTACATAAAATTTACCATTGTAGTCATATATATGTTTGTATGGTTCAGTGGAATTAAGTATATACACATGGTTTTGCATTCTTCTTCAGAACTTTCTCATCATACTAACTGAAACTCTGTACTCATTAAATTCTAAGTACTGGTCCAGGGATTTAGCTCAGTGGTTTCACCACCTGCCTTACAAGCACAAGGGCCTCGAGTTCAATCCCCAGTATCAAAAAAAAAAAATTCTAGCTACCCAATCTCCTTTTATGCAGCCCATGCCTTGGGTAATTTAGAGGGTGACAATAATGGTGAATGCCACCAGGAACAATCCCATGCTCCTGACCCGCCTGAGTTCAGGGCACTTTGGAATGAAAGCACGGCGATGGTTCTGACAAGGTACTGAGGATTCCTGGGTTCCAGAAGCTGTACTAAGCACTCCAAAAGCAATGACACTTCAGCTTCTCCCGTGTACCCAAGAAGGTACATGTGGCTACTGTCCCAACGTGACAGAGGAGAGTGAAGCCCAGAGAGGTGGAGTCGCATGCTTGATGGGCGATTGTAGCAGAGCCAGATCTTGATGTGTCTTACTCCGGCCTGGTTGGGCAATGAGCTGACTCATGCCTCCTCCAGATCCGCCATAATAGAGGCCATCCTTGCTACTTTCCCAAGGGGTCACAGAGTCCAAATATCTATTTTTAACAAAGCTCTTCCCAAATCCTCTGTCCAGAGAGGTTTTGGCTGTGGTCCTTCAGATCCAAGGGCTCCTTGAACGTAGGATCAGGGCCTGGATTCTACTCTCCCAGCAGCTCTCCCACTCCAAGCAGAGAAGCAGAACTGGTGCTGTGTGGCTCCTGGGAAGGAGGAAACATTGCCCCTTTCCTGGTCTGGCAGCATCTGATTGTGTGTAAGCTGCATCTCCAGCCGGTGCTTATCCTCAGGGGCACCCCTGATCTGGGGAAGCCCTCACCCCAGTGCTGGCTCATCCTGCAGAGCACTCATCAAGGCTGGGGTGAACTGTGTCAGCTTGGTTCTTTCTTCCCTCCTCGACACCTGCCACCACCCATAATGCCTCCTCAGATTTCCTATTAAATGATGAAAGAGGCAGAGAAGGAGGTGGCATCCAGTAGGTAGGAAGGACACAGCAAGTGTTATTTGTGATATTAAGACATCTGTTGTTAGAATACTTGCACTGCCCACACTTGCCCCAACTCCTCCTGTCCTGAGTGATGGAGGACTGGTTCCAAGATCAATAGCCCCACACACCACAATATCAACCGTCCTTTCTGTATGCTTCCTCAGTCCCCTCCAGAGACAGGCACATAGCAGCTTTTAATAAATACTCATCCGGTGGAACCAGAATGCATTCTCTTTATGCCCATCTCCTCTCTCACAACTCCATAGCACCCCTGACCCAGCAACTGGGACCACTGATTTGAAGAGGCTGAAGAATCCCAGGAAGTCCAAGAGCTCCTAGAAACTAATGGTGCTGGGTGGGTTGGCAGAGGTGGGACTCAGGCCAATGCACATCTGGTCCAGCTGGGACAGGAGTGATTTGGACTCTTGATTCATGAAAAAATAATCTGAAAGTCCCCTAGGCTGGTCTTGTGCAGGATCTGCCTTCCTTGCCTCCAGGAATGACTTTGCATTTCCAGAGGGACTTGGAAAGAGTATTCCCCATTGTCCCCATTTATGAAGATGACCATTTTATGAAGCAAATTATCTCAAAACAAGGAGGCCAGATAGGTGTCTGTATATGCATGGCCTTTAGAGGGCAATGCAATTTTTCCAATCATATCTGACCTTCAGCCTATGTGGAAATTATGTGGGGTTAGCATGACCCTAACTGTAGCAGAACTGAGAGTGAAGCCAGACAGTGAAACTAGCTGTCCACCCCTCCACCTTTCTTTTCCTTATGATACTATGAGAAAACTTTTAAAGAGCCTGATTTGACCACTTATTGCAAGGGTATCACCTGTAGAGGAGGAGTCAGATGTCCAGGGTTTAAATTCTGACTGATCCAGTGATACCTGTCATGTCTGCCTCACAGGAAATTTGTGAGACTCAAGGGAGAAAATATGGATTGGAATCCTTGGCAAATAACATGTATTCCCATCAGTCATACTATACAAATTTTTCTGGCACCATATTTATCTGTGCATAGTGGGTGATATGCAGGGGCATATAATCACTCATCTCATTACAGTCCTTGTAATATCTTTGACTTTATAAATGTCATTAAGTTGCCCCCCTCAAGATACCCAAGCACCATCTACTTCTGCTGTGATACCACTGGTCTCTATGGCATGGCTTTCCATGGCCCTAGTTCACTAATGAAAGGAGTTTTATTTTTTTTTCTTCCTTTCTTTTTTTTTTTGTGTGTGTGTGTGTGTGTGGTACCGGGGATTGAACTCAGGCCCTTGTGCTTGCAAGGCAGGCAGCAGAAACACTGTGCCAAATCCCCGGCCTGAAAGGAGCTTTCTGAAGGCCTTCTATTTTTCTTTGTGCCTCCGCTAAGCTTTTCCAAGGAGTGTTGCTTTCTGGACCGGGATATAGGACACTGCTGGATTCCTCTCTTCCTTTGCTTACGTCTGCACAACATCACCAGTGGTAAGTGCCACCCATGTGACTACATGTATGAGAAAATGTTTGGAGACCTGCCCTACCCTTCCACTACTCCCCAGAAGCTCCACCAGGTAGTTCAAAAGGAATCAGCTGAGATCTAGTTTGTGGCCTGCAGGAACACCACAGAGGATTCACTTCTAGGTCACTTGTTAGGCAGAAAATTAAATTAATTGAACGATTTGTCCCTGTCATTCATATTCTTCAAGTTCTTCTCTGGAAAAGGAAATCTGGATTTTTCTGTATTATAGATAGTATTCATCAACCAGATATTGGTTCTTTGGAAATGGTTGGTGAACGTTCTGCTCCAACTTTACTGCCTGTTTTTCAATGTGTAGCTAAGCCTGGCTCTGGCCTTCACACAGATCCCTGGGCTGCATGTAATCACATATCATAACATTCAACCTCTCTTTGGTCTCCAGTGTATTCCAGTTAATGATAATTATCCCAGCTTCCATTTCACATCACCTTTTATTGTGCATACGCGAAACAAATATAAAGCAAAGTGCAGGACCATGAGAAGAATTTACTGCAATTTATTGGATTCTGATTTGGCTGGATTTATGTGGTATGATGGACTTGAACATGCTTTCAATTCCCCTTTACTGCATATATGGGAACAATTTCCTGTAAACTAATATGATGTTTCCTTTCACGGTAACTATCAGGGACAAATTCTTTGATTGAATACATCTGAGAGACAAGTTGTTCAACTGCTCTGAAAACTCTAGGTCTGTGCCCTAGAGCCAGGCTTGTGTTCTCCTAACACCCTATCCTGGGCACAGAAGAGGGCAGCAGTGACTTGGAAGAGGAGTGGAATATTAGGGAATGTGTTGTGGGCAGGCTAAGAGGCCTTTGCTGAGATCTTTGCATGTGAAAGAACATTTTCAAAGCCATTTCTACTATCCCAAGTAGCCCTCCAACTCAGGGATGGTTGATGGAGCCCAGGGATTTTGTCCAAGTTGCCCATAGACACTCTAGTAACACTGAAAATCCCATTCCAAACCTTTTTGGCAGGATTACAGCCAGGGGCTGTGAGTATTTGGGCAGGAGGATCTGTACCTTAAGCACACCGTATGGATTCCCAGTGGGTCTGGGAAGGGAGATCTATAGGAAAGTGTGGGAAGAAAAATATAAAGAGACAGACTTTAACTGAACCAAGGCACAGCCTAAATATCTTTCCTTTTTCTTCCTAATATTTTTTGGCAATATTATCAGAATGGAAAGTGTGCGGTTGTTGATTGGTCAAAGCTGAACTCTGACAGCCTCTGACGGCTTCAGCTTTAACAGAGTTCCCCAGGTACCCTCCAGAGTTTGCTGGGAAGTGCTGGTTTTTTTGTTTGTTTGTTTGTTTGTTTGTTTTGTTTTGTTTTGTTGTTTTTTCAGAACTGTTGGTATTATATTTATTTTAAAATAATTGAAATTAAACTTAAAAGTATGGTATGCTTTTCAGATTTTCTACTGAAGTTGAAATAACCCTCCAATTTAGAGTACATTTGCTCATTCCTTTGGAAGTTTATTTATGTGAATTTAAAAGAGAATTAATTTGAAGTATGAAAGAAATTGACTCGTATACAACCATGGCAGCTCTGAGATGTCTTATTCCATTCTATCAATCAAATCTCAAACCTACCTTTTGTCTTCCAAGGCCTCTGACGTCTTCGTTTTACTTTCAGCAAGTGAGACTTTTTGCGGTTTTGTTATGAATAAAACTGTAAATATGTCTGTCCCCTTTCTGCTTCTCCCAAGTCAAGGATCTGGAGAAATTAAGGAACATTAACTTCTTCCCCACGTCCTGGCTCATCCGGGTCACAGCCAACCATTACCATTCGGTGAGTCGACTCTGAAAGGAAACAATTATCCAAATCCATTGCCTCTCTGACTGCTTTTTCTGGAGATGTGGCTCACATTTGATTCCTTTGGGCCTTTTTGAGGTCAGGACCTATCTGGATCCTCCTTCAGGGGAAGCAAGGAAAGCTGATCCTGAGAAGGGGAAGAGGGAGAGGTCCAGCCTTATAACCCAGATGTTTAGGGCATCTTCTTGTTGGTCTGGAGAACTGAATGGGTGAGGCGCTCCCTCCCCCCACCAAACGGAGTCCCTGCCAGACACAATGTATCATGTGCTTACTAGTGAAACGTTTTGAAATGCAGAGAGATAAAGAAAATACTCTCAGACCCACCACTCAAAGAAAGCGCTGTTATCATCTCATTGTATATATTAACTTTTAATTTAAAAAATATATAAAATAGCCAATTAATTTTCTTCTTTTTTATTTTTTTGGTACCGGGGATCGAACTCGGGTGCTTGCGCTTGTGAAGCAGCCGGAACCACTGAGCTAAATCCCCGGCCCTAAATTTACTTCTTAACACCATTTTTAATGGCTGTGAACTCTTCCACAAAGAGGATGTGACAGCCAGTTCTACTCTGTCATTCAAAAAATACGAAACATGTTTACTTTTTTAAAAAGTATTACAGTAAAAGACGTTGCCAAAAATGTTAGGATTACATGTTCAAAGCTAGAGGGAGTGTCTTGAGTGTCTCTAGAGAGCTTATTGGCAGTGTGTCTTTAACCATAATAAAATCTGTAATTTAAACAGTGTGTTTTATGATCACCTCTCCTTGATCGAACGTTTACAATTTTTGCCAAATAAAAACATCATGATGTGTCCCCATCCACCTTACTCACTGGATCTGACACAGTACAACTTCCGGCTCCTCCCCAAAGTCAAGATGACCATGAAAGCCATACGTTTTGAATCAGTTCAGAATATCGAAGCAGCCATGACCGTACAACTAAAGACACTCACAAAAGAGGACTTCCAGAACTTCTGAAAGCAGCGAGAGGGATGGGATACATGTGTTCAAAGCGAGAGGAAGTCTTTTGAGGGGGATTAATGGCAATGTATCTTTTACTAAATTGTTAAAAATTTAAACAGTTGCTATATTTTTTGTCACACCTCCCAGGATGTTTCTAATTGTTTACTTTTAAAATTGACATTAAGGGGAACATATTTTCACGTGATTGTCTATTTTACTACACTTTGAAGTATTTTTTATAGAAAATTCTTAGCAGTAGAAATGCTGGCACTAAAAGGAATGTGTGTTTTTGTTCTTAATACATATTAACAAATGTGAGAACCAACTTATTCTTTCCCCAGAAATAAATGAGCACCCCTCACTTTGTACATCCTAAACCGTGTAGAGCATTTTAATTTCAAATGACTTTTGTTAATCAAGAAAGGAACAACAGCATCTCATTTTGTCACACATTTCCTTTATTATAGTAAACATGAATATTTTTCCATGCAGCATGTTCTCCTTTGTGAATTGTCTATGCAAGCTATCATACTTCTTAAGTGTTTCCAATCATGCATTTTTGAGATGAAACAGGACAGTGTTTGAGTTCTGCAGATGCATGAGTCACTTGTTAACATTCATCAAGCTTAACAAACACCTATTGTACTGTGTCATCCAGCGCTCCCAGCTCAGGGCTTCCTGCACATTAGACAATGAATCCCTGGAACTGTGCTTCTCTGCAGCACAACTCAGAACTACGCTATAACAGAACAGCGAAGGGACAGCCTTTGTGGCTGACACCGCAGAAAGTCCTCCAACTCCCTCTTCCGGCCTTCTGACCCTGCCCACCTCCTTTCTTTTGCCCCCTGATGCCGCTACCATCCTGCCAGTATCTGCTCCCTCCACTCCCAGCCTTCACCATGAAGCCTGCTGTATGGGGCCTTGCTTGTTCTTGACTTATGACTGTATTCTTTCTTTGCCTCATGATTGGTCATGATTGTATTCCCCTAGTAGAACTTTTCAGGTACTTTTCTTTGCTCCTTTCTACGTGTTTTGAAAGCACTGAGCACGGTACCTGGTACATAGTAGGTTTTCAATAAATGCTTGTTGATCAGATGAACAGCTGAATGTAGGATCTGGAGAGCAACCTCTCCTCCCAGTACTATGGGGGAGGGGATTCAGGGGCCAACCCTGGGAGATTACAAGAGGGACTTCCTTCTATGCCTTGGGTTATTGGTAAGCTGTGTGCGTTTCCCTTTTAGCTGGAGAATGGAGGAGACATGATCCGCCTGAAAGATCTACTCACCCAGGGAGTGAGGTTTGGGCTGCTCTTTAACAAGGTACTGAAAATGACCCAAACAAAGGGAAAAACTCTCTCCCATTTCTTCTGTGCCTGATGAAGAGTGCCTGTGGGGCAACCCATGATCACTCTTCACTGTGATACTCACAAGACATGTGTTTGGGACAGGCCGTTCTATAGTCTAATGTGTGTGCCCCAGATTTTCTCATCAACTCTTCTAGTTTTCTCAGGATGAAAAGTAAAACCAGGAAAGACCTGGGAAAACTATGATGGTTCAATCACCATATTCCTCACAAACATCAACAGCTCCTAACTGGCTTGATGAGCCTCTGCTCCATATGCAGGGTGAAGGTTTCAGAAGGAGTTCATTCTGGGCAGCTCTTCTGCTGGATCTGAGACTCAAACAGCAGTGGATCATAGACGGAGCTCCAGTGCAGAGCATCTCAGCATTCAGTCCTGGGGAGTGTCTGGGCTTGGTGGCTGTCTTAGATCCCTTATGATAGGCACAATTCTCCAAGACATTGATGCTCTCTTTAACTTCTTTGAAGGCACCCAACACAGTGCTAATCTCAAAACAATTCGTGTTTGAGGGCTCAGGATCCTGAATCTATCATTTGAGAGACTGTGTGGGTCAGCCCTCTAGGTGCAGAAATGCATCTCAGTAGGTAGACTATACAGTGTGGGACCAGGGTTTGTTGCACATACCGTGAATATGAAGAGTCTCTTAGGCCTATCAAATTGAAACAAAGTTCTGTGAAAGGTCTGCAGACCACACGTCATCTAAGAATATGCCTAACTCATTCTTTTCCTCAAGGACGAATATGCAGAGTAAATAATATTGCCACTACTAAGTATCAACTCCTAACTATACTGTTAGTAGTAGTGTCCTAACCTGCTATATTAGTCAGTTTTCCTATCACTGGAACATAATACTCAATACCACGACTTAAAAGAAGAGAGGTGTAATTTAGCTCATGTTTTAGGGAGGCTCCATCCAAGGCAAGCTCCAAGGCAAAAACTTCATGGTAGAACAGTGTGGTGGAGAAAATGCTGACTTCATGGCAGTCAGGAACAGTGCCAGAGAGGAACAGGTGAGGGACCAGATATACTTACTACCCAAAGTCATGTCTCTGTGACTCATCCAGACACCCAGGAGCATGCTTTATTAATCCTCTAGGCTAGTGATGGAGAATTTTTTAAAGACTGAGAGCCCAAACTGCAACCCAAATCCACTTATTTATCACAAACTGCCAACACTGCAATTAAACTTGAATACTGAGGTTTTAGTTTAGAAAAAAACAAACTTACACATTATCATCTTTTATCTTAAAAGAAAAACACAATAACAGAGCTTTCGATGATGTAACGGCTTTTTTATTGAAAGATAAAAATTTGCACTTGGAGTGCTTTTGCACAATTAATGTGATATTTGCTGTTGTGTGCAGGAGGATAGGTTGTCAAACCTGTGCTCACAGTTCGTTAGTTTGTATCAGATTTGATACAATTCAAAGCTGAAAACAGCTGCTCAGAAGCATAAGATGATTCAAACAAAGTAAGAAAAGCAATCCCAAGTGCATTCTTTGACTTAAAAGTACCTGGCAGAGAACTCCACACTTCAAGGATTTCATTTTCAGCACTACCTACTGTGCTGTCCTTTGTCATCCTTCACATGCTATCCTGTCTATCTTCTCAAGGGTTGCACAAAGGTCATAGAATGTTTTTTCCAGATAGAGCTTTCTTGAAATTCCAATAACTTGATTTCTAGATTTCTAAAATCTAACCAGTTTAAGCAGGAAAGATCAAGTTCCTCAAATCTGGCTTTATCTGAAGAAGAAAGAAAGAACAAGGTTGGTTCCATCTTTCGGAAGTGTAAAAATTGGTTAATAAAATTCTCTTTTGCAGCTGCTGCAATGCTAGCGAACTCCTTGTAGATTTCCTGATGGCCTGTAGGATTGTCTGCAAATGTTGCAGAATTTTCTAAATGTATTTTTAGATTTGGAAAATATTTCAGATGCCCACTTTCAACGTCTCTTTCAAAAACTTGTTTACTCTCAAATATTTTGATATCACAAAAATCCTTTCTGTAGTTTTCCCTACACCTTATAGGTTTTTTGTTCAGTATATTGAAGAGTAGTGTAAAATCTGTAGAGCAAACAAAAAAAAAAAAACCATGAGGTTGCTAAGCCAGGCCATATCGGTGAGCTGTGGATAGTCCTGCCCCTTTGCATTCATAGGCATCCTAATTTCATCCAAGCAGGCTACAAATCTCTCAAGGATTTGTCTTCTGCTCAGCCACCGGACATTATTAAAGAAATTAGTTAAGAATTATATAAAGAATTATGCTGGGTCTGAACCTCATCAAATAGTACTTGAAACTGTCAAAAATATATTCTAGAGGACAAGCCATGATGTAATTCACCATTTTTGTGACATCTTTGAGGATATTGTCTAATCTTTTTTCTGTTTTTTCTGGCACAAAGAGCTTCTTGGTATATCATACAATGAAACTGAATGACTGGATGTTTTGCTTCTTTAACAAAGCATTGTGTGAAGCCAGTTGTTACCCCACCATGCGAGATGATCCATCTCTAGTAACTGAAACCACTTTTTCTGGTCTTATGTCTGTGACAAAAAAAAAAAAAAAAGAAAGAAAAAGAAAGAAAGAAAGAAAATCATCACAGCTGTGTAGATGTCTGTCCCTTGTTCTTCAAGGCAAAGACACTAGTTTCACCAGCTCTTCTATCCTCATGTCATCAACAGCGTAGTGCAAAATTACTGCTAGCCTTGAGTGATTATTTATATCTGTGCTTTCATCCGAGCACATGGAGTAACTGGCTGCCTTTTGTAAGTCAGTGGTGAGCTGCTGCGCTTGCCATGCACAGGACGTGGTCTTTAACGGTATTTCTGCTAAGTGGCATCTCAGAGATGTGCTGCATAATTTTATCCTTGTTTGAGAAATCATGAAAAAGGGAATCACTCCCAGACAACATGGCCATTTTGATAAAATCCCCTACAGAGAGGGGCCATGTTTTGCTATGCACAGTGAAATTTGAAAACTGGCAGCTGACAGATGATTTGTTTTAGAAAGATGCAAAAGCTAAGATAGTGGGGATTGTATTTTCTCAGTTTCCCTTCAGATGCTTTCCTTTCAGTTTCACCAAATTCAGCAACAGTTTTGTGCCTATTGCCAAAATATCATCTGACCCTTGATGTGTGACCCACAACACTTTCACTATGCAAAATACATAACACTTTCTCATTGCATTCAATAACTCCCCATGACTCTTTCCAGGCCTCTTAGAATGACTTTCCACTATCTGTTTTCAGTTGCACTTTTCTTGCTGTCATGTGTTGGTGTTCAAGAGTCTAGAAAAACACAGAATGTTTAAAAAAATGAAGCACTCAATACAGATCTATTTCGATACTAAAAATAGTTAGCACTATTAGGTAACACTAAAGAATTGAATATTCCCTGCATCAGCAATCTATGGCAGGGATTCGCTGGGCTTCCTCTTGAATTTGCTGACCAACAGTACAAGGGGTCAATGGCCCACTGACCACCAGCTTTTGGCTTGCTCTGAAAACAGCAACTGAGTACATTTTCTACCTTATGGGGGCTTCTGCTAAAATCACAGCCAGTTCAAACAAATATATATATCCTTGCTCTTGTTTTCATAAATTCTTCACAAACAAGGAAATATGACTCTCCAGATTCACATGTGCCCAGGGGGACAGCACACCATTAAAAAAATCTCAGTATCCTAATTAGAACATCTCTTTGCTAACTCTTAGATATTAAATTTCACTTTTTCATAAGAAAACTCAAAGCTAAAATCTTGTGTTAATAAAAATGAATGTATTAAAATGCACAGCCAGTACAAGCGTGTGTGTGTGTGTGTGTGCGTGCACACGTGTGTGTGTGTATTATATCCTTGGCTGCACACCAACTGGACACAAAATCTTGGAGGAGTCACAGCTCGTGAGTCGTGTCATGACATCATCATCTGGTGCTGCTACTCCTTTCCAAGCATGTACATGGCCCCTGTGTGTGCTGTTATTGGGCGCTTGGCTGCTGGGCTGATGCTGGGTGACTTGGCTCGTGTGCTGACAGAGAGGGCTCTGCATGCCCACTGCAGCATTTGGTGCCATAGATTTGCCAGCACTGTGCTAGGCATTTCTTGGTCCACTAAAGTTGACAAATCAGGATCAAGGGTCACACCTGCCAAAAATTGAAGTCACTACAACTTTGCTTTTCCTACAGTTTCTAGGATAAGATGGTTATTGCATCTTCTCTTTTAAATCAGTTATCAAATGAATCACTTTTATCGTCAGTAGAATTTGTTTTGCTATGTTCTATTCAATCTAAATACTGAGGAGTTTTCCTCTTCACTTTGTTGTTTCTATTTTCCAATGCAGGAATATACCACTCATTCAAAGATGGTTTCTATATATGGGTTCTTCTTTGAGTTAAAAGTGTGTGTGTGTGTGTGTGCGTGCACACACGTGTGTGTGTATTATATCCTTGGCTGCACACCAACTGGACACAAAATCTTGGAGGAGTCACAGCTCGTGAGTCGTGTCATGACATCATCATCTGGTGCTGCTACTCCTTTCCAAGCATGTACATGGCCCCTGTGTGTGCTGTTATTGGGCGCTTGGCTGCTGGGCTGATGCTGGGTGACTTGGCTCGTGTGCTGACAGAGAGGGCTCTGCATGCCCACTGCAGCATTTGGTGCCATAGATTTGCCAGCACTGTGCTAGGCATTTCTTGGTCCACTAAAGTTGACAAATCAGGATCAAGGGTCACACCTGCCAAAAATTGAAGTCACTACAACTTTGCTTTTCCTACAGTTTCTAGGATAAGATGGTTATTGCATCTTCTCTTTTAAATCAGTTATCAAATGAATCACTTTTATCGTCAGTAGAATTTGTTTTGCTATGTTCTATTCAATCTAAATACTGAGGAGTTTTCCTCTTCACTTTGTTGTTTCTATTTTCCAATGCAGGAATATACCACTCATTCAAAGATGGTTTCTATATATGGGTTCTTCTTTGAGTTAAAAGGAACCAAACATGACACTACCTCTTACAGTTTTTACATGCAGGTAAGAAGGACGGAACAAAGAAAAAGTATGTCTCTGAAACAGATATTTAGATTCAATTAACTCTTTGAGTTAATAACTGATTAATAATCAATTCGTAATTTGTAAGAACTGTGTTATAAGTGCTATTTACACATATATGTGCTGTCATTTCACTTTTACAACCACCATTGGAGGTAGGCATTGGTAGCTGATAAGGACCTCAACACCGAGTGACTTTGTGTTCATGAGGCCTCTATGGATAAACAGTGGTTTAATTCCAGTCTTATGACTTCACATCTGGCACCCAATTAATCTTGTTTGTATAGATGGGTGACATTTTGTAGATGGTCATTCTTCTATGGAGGCAATGCATAGTGCCCACATGTTAGACAAGGGGTGAGCCTCTTTAGAGTGATATAACAGGGTGGTGGATGGGACACTTGAGAAGTCAGAAGTGTGGATGACTTCAGGGCAGCAATGGAGTTGCTGTCAGACTGCCTGGCAAACTGCATGACCTCGGCAGATTCCATGAACATGTCCTCTTTGCAATGGGGACAGTAACAGGACCCACTTCACTGGGTGATTGTGAGAATTAATCCTGTCTGTTTCTGCAAAAGGTTTGAAACAGGCCTGACACAGAAACACTATATGCTTGCTTTTTGTTTCATCTTCGTTTGGTGCTGAGGATTAACCCCATGACCTTGTGCATGTTTCTGCTCTACCACTGACCCGTGGCCCAAGGCTAACGCTATCATGTTGGCTGATGGTGGTGATATTGCTGACAATCTCACTGACAGCTATGATGAAGAATCGTTGTGCTCCACTTAAAATTTTCTTAGAAGTCTCTCTTCTGCAAACTGTGGTCTCCCTGGGAAACCATATGGTATTCATCTTTTTTAGGACCATGGCCATCCTCTGTACCTGAAACCTAAGGGAGCTTTCAAAACTGTTGAATGGGTAAACGAATGCATAACCAAGTGATGAAACCTGAGTTTTAGTTCCAGCTTTGTCACTACCTTCAAAGGGGCAAAAGAGAATTAATATGTGTTATGCGCATGTACAAACTCCCCTCAACAAATATAATCATTATGTATTTCCACTGCCTTCTAATGCACCCCAGAACAAGCCATTTATTTTCCTTGGGCCTCCATGCTTGGTTGCCTGTCATTCAGGTGTCCCCCACAGAATAGGTTTTACTGTATGAGAGAGAGGAATTACATAATAGTATTTATCAAAAAGCGCATGTACACTTTGAGTTGACATTTTTGTCCTAGCAACGAAATGAAAGTGAGGCTTGACTTGATGTTTTCCTGGGTTGGCCAAACCCCAGTCCACTAGCTGTTGACCGTGTGCAGTAAAATCTCAAATGGAAGTGGACTCAGCGGTGGCCCTCAGGAAGTGATGGCATTAGGGAAATAGCCTCTTGCTGCCTGTGCACAGGAGACAGAAAGGACTGTGCCAGGTGCTGGGTTTTATTAACTCTGGGCACCCCAGCCGCAGTTCCCGTTGGGGTGGATCACCACTCTCTTTGCAGAGAATAAGACACACAGACTTGGAGTCTCCCTCTGCAATCTGTGAGCGCAGCACTGTCAGCCTGAGAGCAGAGCGCCTGGTGAAGTACGAGATCAGAGCCCATGCCCTGGTGAATGGTAGGTGGCAGGAGTTCAGTACCAACCAGATCACACAGAAGTTTGGGTTCGTCAAGCCACACTGCAAAAGCCATGTAAGCATTCATCTTTGTCTCTGTCTTTTCTTTTCTTTTTTCCTTTTTTGTTCCTTTTCTCCCTCAGTTCCTTTTGAGAACCCCTGGATTCAAATTGCAAAGAGGAGCTTGCTCAGTTTCTTAAGGATTATTATGGCTTTGAAATGTACTAAAAAGAAACTTTCTAGAATGAAAAACTGGGATATTGATAACTATAACCCAAATTATACTGCCTAATGAGATACACATCTGATCCATTTTATAAATGTCAAAGGGGTGTGTGTGTGTGTGTGTGTGCGTGTGTGTGTGTGTGTGTGTTTTAGCGGGCTTACTGAGGTATATTTTGCTACCAGCACCTCCATCGACACCTGTAGGAAACCCATCACTTCCCTTCAGTCCATGGCCTGGGCCACCTGCCCTGCCTCAGTTCATCAAGGAAGACTGAGCATAATGACCTTAGGGTTGGCACCAGCACCCAGGCAGATTCATACCAGGCCTGGCTTCTCACAGCCAAATCCCAAAATGGCCAGAGAGCCCAGGAGAAACTCTGGGCTGTGAGTTCAAGGATGTCTAGGGCCTTCCTAGGTGCCCTGCAGGGAAAGGGACTGTACCATAGACCAGTGAGCCCTTCTCAGCCTTGACACCTGGGCCCTGAAACACTCCTGCTGGATCATCTCCCAGATCACCAGAGCAAGTGCTTTCTGGAGAGGCCTGGGTTACTATGTTCTTGAGTGTTCACAGCTTACTTCTTCTGATGTCAGAAGTCGAAATAGCAGTTTCCTTGGGGAAGTGAGGGGAGAGACTGGGATAAGCCCAAGAAGGACAGTGAAGGCGTCTTCTAAGGGCTGGAAATGGCCTTCACTGTGTTCTGGTGGTGTCTGTCTCCTGTGAAGATGCTCAAACTGCACCCTTGACATTTGTGTTCCTTATTGTATTGAAATTATGCCTCATTTTTAAAAAGTTTATTTAATAACCCCCATAGGCAAGTCTGAAGTACGACCAGGGTTGAGAACCACCAAGACATAACTTGTGTTCTCAACTTACAAGTCCCATCGGTTTTGTTTTGCATTTTAGGTCTTGAAAGTCCAAAGTGTGGGCGTTCCAATCTATGCAAGCTTTGTAATTATCTTCCCAGTATCCTGACAGTTTTCAGAAGAATCTATGGGATGTTCTCCTACCAATCTGCATAAAAGGAAATAAAATGACATCAAAAGAAGAACTGCACGGTTACTGTACTAGTTAACAATGGTCTTATTAGAAATTTTGTCCACATTTTGTCTCGCTTGAAGAGGGAAGGTGCCACAGCCACGAGTCCACTGGCCATCCTTGACCCCAAAGCACCCTGAGCCCAGCCCCTCGGGAGGTTGTAGGTGACAACACCTGCAAATCAACAGGCTCCATCTGGGAGCTTCAGTATTTCCCTTCTGCTACAGCTGCACCTGGTACACAGAACCACACCCCCAGCTATTGCCCCTGGCAGCTGTGACAGCCAGAACAAGAGGTAAGAAGGGAAGGAAGCAACTGTAAGGCACAGAGTGACTTATTTTATCTATCATCCCACTTAGGCACTGGACACACACACAGTGCTCAACCTCCCAGAGGCAGGGCTATTTCTATGTCTGCCCCTGGGAGAGTGAGGTGTGTGTGTTCATACAAGGCTTTTTGCAGTGTCCTAGCTGTGGACCTGTCGGTTTCCATTCCCCACATGGCCCACTGGAAAGAGGTGGGATCTCACCTGTCATCTGTGCAAACGACATGTGAGTCATGGCTCTGCTACAGGCCAGCTGCCTGTGCTGGTCTTGGGACATCTCACTGGATTCTGACCGGGGAAGTGGGAAGCTGTGAGCGTGGTCTCGCTGAGGAGGTGGCCTGGAAGAGAGCCTGGAAACATAAGCAGTGTCCTTGGGGAGGAGGAGTGGGAAATGGACACAAAGTGAGGGCCACACAGCTGAGAGAAAGTTGTTTCCAGCCGCAGGGCTCCTGGACTGAATGTGCATCAGAATCAACCTGGAGTTCATGCAAATGCAGGCCCTGGGCCAAGCCCACAGAGACTGAGTGTGCAGTCTGAGAAACACACAGGAGTGTGCACTTTACCTGGCTTCCCAAGGGATCCTGATGCAGAAAGTCTGGGGCTCACACCCAGAAAGGACCCTGATGTGAAAACGGATTCCACAGCAGGGCTTCTGTCTGTGCCACACACATCCAGTCACTGTTCTCACCCAGTGCCGAAAACTCAGCCACAAACCTGTGAGTCTATTTCACCACAGCTGAAATAGCTGATTGAGAACAACAATAGCAACAAGAAAAAGAAAAAGAAATTTCCTAGACTGTTGAATAAACAAAACCTCAAATAATGAGTCATCTTCTGCAGGTGAACTATTTTCTGTATTTCTGAAAATTCACCCCTTTCCACTAGAGGGCGGGCTCTATCTCAAAAATGGGAACTACTGTAGGTTTCCAAAGGCTGAAATCTGAAATCTGAAGAACTCATCTCCCTGCCAGGGTTTTCCTTGCTTAGGTTTGAAAGTGAAACCCATACATCCCAAGTGGGGTTGTATATTCAGTGTACACAGCCCCTGGTATATGTCTTGAAACAAAAAAATTTTAAGATCTTTAGAAGCTCTTCTTACAAGTGAGAGATTCTTAGACTAGAATTTTAGACCCACAGTCCGTGCCCAAGCAGTGGTCACAAGCACTGAACAAGGTAATGACTTATCTGCCATGTTCCTAACTTCTTTCTGTCTGCTTTTCCCATCACTCACCTCCTGGCCAACCTCCCACCTCCTTTTCGCTAGCCGAGTTGACCCAGAATCCCCTCTGTGCACAGCAGCACTTGAGTTACAGTTGGATTGACCTGAGTTTGAGTCCTAGCTGTGCCTCAGGTCCTTCTCCTCCTTGGGGCCTTTAGCCTGTTATGCAACCTAAGGAGGTTGGACTGATGCAGAATATGATGCAGGAGATGAAATATGAAAATATTTTATCTCCCAACCTGTTAGATGTCTGATATGGCAAGCTTGTGTTCTCTAAAAATCAAAGAAAGAATTTTAGGAACAATGAGAGCTCCTGAGAGGCAGGAGGGGTCCCGAATGGATAGCCAGAGAGCCCACTTTACAAGGGAGTTTTATAGAGCCAAACACACGTGGGTACAACATAGGTTACAGCTATGATCACCCAATAAGGTTATTAATACAGTTGCTTAGGTAATAGTGGTCCAATCGGGAAACAAGTCATGTAACTAGTATGGATGGAAAGAACAAAGACTTCTTCCAGGAGATAATGGGTGTGGAGGTGACTGGGGTGACTGATGTCTATCTAGACTTCATTAGGCCTGGTGTTTGTCCTTTTAGAAAGTATGCATTTAGTCTTTATCTTGAGGCCTGATCTCCGGCAAATGTGTCTCTGGCCACAGTGATGATGTATTTTTACCTTTGCCTTGACTCTCTCGAGGGCCTAGCCCTATCTGACTACCTGTAATAGTTCTAACTAACTTAGCTGTCTGTAATAGGACCAGGGGCTCTCTGCAGGCCTTTCTAGCTGCAGGCCTCAGATCCTCTGATTCTGTGGGTGAAGAGCAAAAGTGAGTGGTTCAGCCTGTGAACCAGGAAGAGGTAGCCCAAGGGGAGTGAACTGATTCATTTTCTGACGAACTGGGTTCATCAGAATGAGAATGCTTTAAGGAGAGTAAGAAAGACACTTCTGTGCTCCCCACTTTTTGGAGGTTTTTACATCCTGGAGACCACTGTGTCTTACGAGGAGAAAGGATGTTCTTGCCCTTGAAAGCCTAGGATGGGAAGGAGAGTGCTGGGCTTACAAGTTCTTTGGGAGAGGGGTGGGTCTTTAGGGGCCACGGGGAGTTCCAGATTGCCCCCACTTTAAAAAGATCTGGAGGCAGCCCTAGCCAAGACAACTTTCTGTGATGATGGAAATGACCCATACTGCCTGGCCAATATGGTAACCTCTAGCCAGGTAAGGCCATTAAGTGATTGAAATGTGACCAGTGCAACAGAGAAATTGTTTTTTTTAATTTAGTTCATCTTATTGTATCTAAATTTAAATAGTTGTAAGTGCAAGGAAAAGGAACAGGACAGCACAGTGCTCACCATGGAACAAGGACTGGTCCTTTCTGATTCTGCAGGCTGTCCAAGATCTGACCTCTCAGCCTCTCCCCATGTCTTGGACGAGTGGAACATCAGTGGCCAGGCTGAGAACTCTGGACATTTCAAATCTCTGTCTATACCACTGGGATAAGGCCACCTCCTAGGGCCAGGGAGAAGCTGTGCTGGAGAAAAGAAGGTTCCAAGGCCAGGGAAGTGGAGTTCAGCTCTGTATTGATGGTACCATCCTTACTCTGCTCCTTCTACTTGTGCTACTTGAATTCAAATACATTGAAATTACATATGATTTAAAACTTTATTCTGTCACACTAGCCACATTGCAAGTGCTCAGTGGCCACACATGACCGCGGCTTCCATATGGGAAGGGCAGATAAAAGACTAGAAGCCATCACTTCTCCTTGTAACTTTGAGCTTCATGAATTTGAATGAGTCATTTAACCTCTGTGTGCTCATTGCTGGACTTGATTCTTTCCACAGATCATTGAAAGCTACAGCAGGGCACCAAGTTTCAAGTTAGGGTTGCAAAGGTGAGCAAAAGACAGCCTCTGCCATCAGGGAGCCAAAGTTCAGGGAAGGACAGTTGTTAATGGAATGATTACATTAAAAGATGCAGAGCTTTGAGAGTGTAAAGCAAAGAAATTTGAACTAGACCCTCGTAGGGAGTTTGAAGCCCATTGAGGGCCCTTCCCAGGGAAAATAATGCTTAAGCCAAGATCTGAAGTGGAAGAGGGAATTAGGACAGCCGTAGGTGAGGATGTAAAGAACTCAAAACCCTTACACTCTGCTGGTGAGAATGTGAGATAGTGCTGCTACTTTGAAAAACTGGTGGTTCCAGGGTAGAAGGAAAGAAATATATAGGTAGAAGACAAGGCAAACCCTGAGTTTAACATTGTACTTTAAAGAAAAACTGCAGTTTCAGAATACAAATTATCCAAGTGCCTTTTTCCCTTCCAGAAAACCTACTCCAAAGAAATCCCTAAGGGTCTCGAGGAGACAACAAGCCTATAAATTGGGTCTTGGGCTCATGTTTTTCACCTATACTTTGCTTTTCCTCCCACAGACTTCCCTCTTCAAGGAAGCAACCCATTAAGTGAGCAGCAGACCTGTAAACTTCAAGCACAGTCAAATGGTGCTTAGCCCACCAAATGGGTAGCCTGACAGTAGGAGTGCATATCCTAGCTCACTCATCTTAAAGATGCCCCTAAGAGCACATAAAAATTCCTAACCCCCGACCACAATGCAGCCAGCTCATTCTAGGAGCACTCACACTGTGCTGTGTACTTCTTTCTGCTTAATTCATGTCCATAGGCCTCTCACTGAGGTGCCTTGAGAATTCATTTTATGTGATAGGAGTCCACCAATCTACAACCTACCCTGTGGGTGGGATGAGTTGAAGCCACCATCTCCTCTTTGGGGAACCTCCCCAAACTCCTCTGGTGACAGTTCCTCAAATAATTAAACATAGAATTGCCTTGCAATCCAGCAATTCACACTTAGGTAGGTACCTGAAGGGAATGAAAACAGGTCCACTCAGAAACTTGTATGTGAATGTTCATAGTAGCAATACTTATAAGAGCCAAAATGTACAAACAATCAAACGTCCATTAAAGGATAAATGGTTGCACAAAATGTGTTCTATCCATACAGTACAATGGAGTAGCATTCCACCTTAAACATAAATAATGGTATGCAAGGCCTGGGTTTGGTCTCCAGGACAAAAAAAAAAAAAAAAAACAGAGAAGAGAAGAAGAAAGGAAAGGAGAGGAAAGAGGAAGAGAGAGGAGGGGAGAGAAGAGGAGGAAAGAGGAGGGGAGAGGAGAGGAGACTGTTTCATGAAACATGGATGAGCTCTGGGAATATTAAACTAAATGAAAGAAATTGGTCACAAAAACCATATATGATTCCATTATAAGAAATATTCAGAGGAGTCCAGGGATTTAGTTCAGTGGTTCTGCTGCCTGCCTTTCAAGTGCAAGGTCCCGAGTTTGATCCCTGGTAAAAAAAAAAAAAAAAATCCAGAGGAAGTATATCTACAGGCTGAAAGATTAGAGGTTGTGTTCAGGTCTGAAGGAGACAGGGAAGGGGCAAGAGCTAAAGGGCACAGGGTTTCTGTTTGATGTGATGAAAATGTTATAAATTATGATAATGGTCTCATAATTCTGAATATGCTGATGACCACTGATCCATACACTTGAATGGGTGAGCTGCATGATATGTGAATTCTACTTTAATGAAGCTATTGATGGGAGGAAAAGAATGTGGGTGCTAGGGAGAGGGTTCCAGCCCAGAGGACAACACATGCAGGAGAAGTTGGTGCCTTCCAAGCACAAACCAGAAGGTCCACCTGGCCAGAGCCAACAAGGTCCTTGGCTGGAGATGCAGGAGAATAGGACCTCAGAGGCCCTGGTGGACATTATTAGAGTCTGTTCTATGTCCTCTTGAGTCTGAGCTGACCCTGGGCTTGCTTTGTCCTCTGGAAGTCCTGTGACTGCACAAGGCCTACTTGAGGCTGAGAGGCCACGTGGAGGAGAACCAAGTACCCCAGCCCAACCCCTGCTCCATCTGCCAGATGTGTGAACCAGACCATCTGGAACTTCCATCGCAGGCTCCGCCCATGAAATACGCCCTCTGAAGTGATTTCCAAGAAACCCCAAGACCGACTTCTGCCAATGCTCAGATTTGTAAGAGATAATTCATTGTTGTTTTAAGTCACTAAGTTTTGGGGTAGTTACCTAGCAGGAGATAATCGAAATACACACTCCCCCTTTTTAAAAATGGGATCTCACAGTATTGCCTGGGCTGGTCTCAAGGGATCTTCCTGCCTCAGGCTCCTAAGAGGCTGGAACTACAGGTGCGAACTACTATGCCTGGCGGAAATACATACCCTTTTGATTCAGCAAACTCACTTTGGGAATTATATTAATAAAAACAAAATCCAGAGAAGAGCCAAGGATTTATTTACAATGACGTTCCTTGCAGCATTGTTTATAGGACGCAACACCAGCATGATTTTGTCACTGTACTTTTATTGGTTGGTCATGGTTTTGTCCCACCTCATGCCCACCTTGTAATTTTCCACTGGGCCTTATAGTTTTGTCCCACTTTGTACCCACCTCACCTCATGGCCTTGCAGTATAAAACACCTTTGAAAAGTGGGGTGGGCAGGAAGGCCATTTTCCGATCCCCCTCTGTCTCTCTTAGAAGCTATCTTTCTCTGAATAATTTTTTCTTACTCTTAAAAAAAAAGTTATTATTGAAGTACTCTTAGCGTTATTGTGTCCAGAATATAGTATAATGTTAGTTGGAAAAAGAAAACAATTTTTAGAGCATGTAAATATGAACCATTTAGACATGCATTTTCATGTGAAATGTATGTGTCCCAAGGCTTGAGCAACTTCAATTAGAAATTGTAAAATTGCTTTCTAAATTGGACCTGACTTCTGTTCCTATCTGCACTGAGGAGTTTTTGTGCTTCTTTAAGGCCCAGTCATTTCCTGCCAGCCTAACCACTGCCGCCATTGGTGAAGAAGGCCCTCCCCCTGATGCATGTAATTCAGACGTGAGTGAAAGCAAAAGTGGCTTCAGCGTTTATTTCACATCTCAGAATCTCTTGGTTTCTCAGCCTCCCAGAGACATTTTTCCCTAACCCATTTCTCATCCAACCAAAGGGGCCTGATTGCTCTTGGGCTCTGTGGGGGAGAGGGAAGCTCACAGTGCATCATCATGAATAGCAGCCAGAAGCTAGGCTTGGGAATTTGGATGTGAAGGCAGCTGGGAGGAGGGCCTGTCATGAGTGTACCAGAAAGGGCCCAGAGAGGCTGAGCACAGTGATTAACTTTTCTTTAATCTCTGCCTCCCTGAACAGCGCAGCAATTGCCTGCTTCCCCCAACAAGCTCGGCATGAGTCACTTGATGTCTTACTAGAGGCGGGGTATGTTTTATTTTAGGCAGGTGCAAGTGCTCATTCGCCTGCCCTTAAGGCACCCAGGAAATACATAACACCTGCTGGCACCTCCAACAGCAACTCAAGGTGGGATCAACTGTCCCTTAGTTCAAACAAATGGAGGTTAACCTGAGTAGGTTTTTTGGCTGGTTGGGTGCCAAAGAGATAACTCTCCATTTCTTTCCCCTTTTCCCGGCTGTTGGATCAAGGATACAGGGCATATCCCTGGGTAACAGGAGGGTTATTAACTCATGGGTTAATTGAGGAAATCATTGACCAAACCACATGTGAGTGTGCTGGGCAAGCAACCCTTGGAGTGCCATAAAGGCTGGCACAGAGAGGAAAAAGTGGACCCTGCTGTGCCTGCCTGGCTCTTTCTTCTAATGTGGGTCACTTCTTGAACTGGGACAGCCTGCAGGTGCTCCTTTTGTGCTTAAACAAACACTAAGCTCCTACCCCTTGGAAGAAGGCAGCAGGAACAAAGTCCTGCCTGGCATGTTGGAGGAGCAGCACACATAAAGGAAGAGGGTGGCAGGCTTTTCTGAGCTGCTGTGCTTTGCCCTCCTCTATTGTACGATCTGTAAAGTTAAGTTAGGAATGGAGAGCTCTGCAGTCTATCCTTGCTTCTTCACCACTTTCTAGCTAGATGACTCTTAGCAAATTGCCTAATTTCTCTGAGCCTCAGTTTCTCATCCTTGCAGAGCCATTGTGAAGACAGAATGAGGGGACACCTGGGGAGGGGTGGTAGGCAGAACAATGCCCCAAAGATATCGGAGTCCTAATTCCTGGAGCCTGAGACTTACTTTACATAACAGATGGGACTTTGTAGATGTAATTAAGTTAGGAACCTTGAGATGGGAAGATTATTTTGGAGTATCTAGGTGGGCCTGACATACTCACAGGGCTTTTTATAAGAGGGAGGCTGGGGATCAGAGAGGTAGAAGGCAATAAGACAGTAGAAGCAGACCCTGCAATGATGTGGCCACAGCTAGGTACAGAGAGCATTCCCTAGAAGCTATGAGATAGCAAGACACATATTCTCCCCTAGAGACTTCATAAAGAATCAGCCCAGCCAATATCTTGACTTTAGAAAATGGGTTTTTCTAAAACACCAAGCTTGGGGGTAATTTGTTATAGCTGCCACGGGTAACTAATACAGTGATGAGTAAAGTGCTGTGAAAATGGAAGGATTTGCTGTCATGTAGCTGAGTTAATCGTATAGAGAAGAGAAAAGGGCCAGGTGTGCCAGGTGAGCCAGCAAGTCTGAATCAGCCTGCAGGTGTCAATTAATGTATGAGCTCATTTGCAGGGAGGGAAGGTGCCTCCAAGGAGGGCCGTGTGTGGCTGGATGGTTGGACAGTGTTTGCTGCATGGTCACTGTATTTGAGGCTGAGCCCAGTGAGGAGCAGCTCCATGGATCTGAGGAAATAATTTTCCAAGAAACTCTTACAATATCATGGATACAAGCTGTGCTCGTGCCCAGGTGACATGGTGGGACACACAAAGGGCCAGGGTCGTTCACATATCCATTCTGCATACAAAACAGTTGTGCTACATCCTGATAGAAGCTAGTTGGCACATTCTGATACCCTGTAGGTTACACCCTAAGACTGCTAGCAGACTTCATCTTTGGTCACTGCATAAATGATAGTGGAAAAATGCTACTGTACAGGCAACAGACAAAACCAAGAGGTATAAGCCAGAGTCGCGAAGTGCTCCAGAAGCTCCCCCAAAGAATTAATGGGATATACCTTGGCAGGGTAAACAGAGAGCCCTGACATTTGGACTAATGTGTGCTCTGGCACTAACAGAATCCCACAGGTCCTGCCCTGAGACACATGTTCCCTAGCAGATCCGATGACAGGGTACAGATACAGCACAGGTGTGACCACGTCTCACCTTTGCAAAGCATGGCTTGTTCGCAATTCTCTCGGAAGAATGATTTCCAGTCCTAATCACTCTTCCTCTGTATCACACATTGTGAGTCCCCCTGGAGAGCCGTCAGACATGGTGACAAGGTGAGGTGCTTCATGCACAAGACGGGCTCATTCTGGCTCAGAATTTTTCCTTTCTCAGATTTTTTTCCTTCTGCTGGCCCCTCTAGATGGAGCTGGCTTATTGCTGGCTCCATAATACAGTGTTTTGCCTATGGAATGTCTGCATGCACAGTCTACACAGCATGTAGCAGGGCTCATGTGTTGGCTAATTAGCTGACACCCTCATTAGAGTGACTGAAAAAGGAAGTTTGGGCTCAAAAGATACTTGCAATATTATCTCTAAACCCATGGCTCCCTGGGCTGGAAAATCTCCAGAACTAGCTGAAAGAATGAGGCCTTGGAAGTCCATTTTGGTGGCCTGAGGGGGTCAATGGGAAGCTCTGGAAAAGCCCACCTGCTACTCTTGCTTAAGGCAGCCTTTTTTTCCTGAGGGAGCTGGGGAGCTCCTTTGGGTTCTCCTTTAGGGTACCTTTCTCCCCACCTTCTCCCCCTTGGGCCTGTGTTGTGGCATCAGTATGGACTGCATCTTCCTGCCCCTTCCCTGCCTCTTGTCTCTTCTTGTGCTTAGCTCCTCCAGGGTCCCATTAAAGATGCCTTGGAAAGTTCTCCCTGGTCCCCCTTTGCTTGGGAAGACCCAAAAGGATCTCAGTGTCATTGTAAATTTTCCTCTAAACTCCTTTCTCAGAATGAAATGCCCTGAATCATTCCAAAATTTCAAAAGATGTAGTACCAAGGGCAAGGAGGAAGGAGAGAGAAGGGACAGAAAGCTAGAGAACTTCTTTATATAGGCAAGATTGTCTCCTGGAAGTCAGTCCTCCAAGTCCCTAAAATTTTGTTTTGTTTTGCACCAGGGATCAAACTAGGGTGCTTGCGCTTATGAGGCAGGCGGCGGCACCACTGAGCTAAATCACTGGGCCTCCCTAAGGTTTATTTTTGGTTTGCTGTTGTTGTTGTTTTGAGACAGGGTCTCAGTTTGTAGTTCAGGCTGACCTTGCACTGGCGGCAGTCATCCTGCCTCAGCCTCATGAGTGCTGGGAATACAGGTGTGCACCGTCATACCCAGGCCCCTAATGATCTTGATCCCTAAGCCTTTCACAGCTATCAGAGACAATGCCTGTAGAACAGGGGCCAACTCCCTCAGTCCATCTCAGATGGCATGCCCATGAAATACAATGAAAAATAAGTAGAAAAACAAAAACTTAAAATAAATGCTCACTGATCATGCATTTGCACGTGGCAGTGTCAAAATGCTATAACTGTCCCTAAATGTTTACTTGTCATTTTTACAAATATCCCCCTGAAGATAGATAATAAATGTTTGGGTCCTGGTACCAGTCCACAGAGCAGACTTTGAGTACACACATAAATTAATGGACAGACAGCTTATTCACAGCTAGAATCCTGAATGTGTTCTTTATTCTTTGGTACTGTATATGACTCGGTAGCCAAAGACTTTCTCAGCAGAAGAAAAGAAAGTTCTGATGGTTTACAATCCAGACTTGGGGTTGTGGGGGAAGCAAGCTCTCTCCAACAAAAAGAGAGCCATCAAAGCTACCATCTCTTCAGCAGTACACAGAGGTGACCTCACTGGCTCATCTGGGAAAAGAGAGGGAGACTCTTGTGGGAGGACTGGAGGTGTGATTGGTTTGGGTGTGGATGTTACCCGGCTCCCTTACCTGTCCTAACATGGAAGCTATGAGAGGAATTTTACTGTCATGTGAGCTCCAAGACACAGGATGAATATTTTGTACCTTAATTTCAAGTTGTGACTATGAACTTTAAAAATGACTTTCAAAGTTAGGACGACTTACATGTTTATGGGTGGTGTCCAAGGCTCATCTCCAGTGAACCTATTAGGTGGCTGGGTTTTGTTGTGGGGAGAGTTAATATGTTTTTTTTCCCTGGTTTTAGTTATTTTTAAAGGCTCCTAGAACGAGGCCATGCCTTTTTAGTACCTAAAAATTAAGCTGTTGCTGTTCATGGGCATGAAGATGCTGTTTCTACGAACAACTCAGCCTGGACACTTCACCTGTGACCTCCTATAGATATGTGTCCAAGCATCCCTGTGTCCATGAGGTAGACCTGAGCCATACCCTCCTCTCCTCTGCAGCCATAATTCACTTTACTCAGCTTGACTTTTTCACCTTCAATGTATCATAGTCATTCATTTATTGTATTTCTTTATTACTTACCCCTGCAACCCGAGCCCCATCCGTTCGACCCAGACTGAACGTAGAACTGTGCCTGGCCCCCATAAATATATTGAGAAAAATATGCATTGTAATGTTCCCAGAGATCAAGATACTGAATGAAGTCCTTTCCTTACGTTATCTAAAGATGGGATTGAGCTGGTACCTCCTTTTGTACAATAATATCTGAGATATCTGCTGGTCGAAGCTTTTCCTACAAGATGGGGAAGGTCTAGGTGTTGCTTGGTGGTCTGTTCTGGATACAGATCTTTGTGAGGGTCCCTCCCTCTCAGGCCCTGCACTCCAGAGCCTGATGTGGAGTCCTGATTCATCACCTACACTGGAGGCAGGACCCAGGGGAAGTAAAACGCTAATGATACTGAGTAGCGATGGAAGAGGGCAGGGGCAGAGCATGCAGAGTGAGAGGAGGGAGCCTCTGCCAGCCAGGGAGCAAGAACCCTCACCAAACCAAGGCCCCGCCTGAGGACAGAGCTCAAGGGGAGTTGTGCGGGCTGAAGAATCCCTCAGAAAGCTGGCGTTTGTCAGTCCTGTGGTTCATGCCATGGAGACTGAGGCCAATGGCACATTGGATGCCTTCTGCAACTCTGTCTATGGGTGTGGTAGGCCACAGTGACAGACTGCATGACTGTGGACTGGTGCTGGGAAAGCCAGAATAGTTGACACCAGGATGGCAGGAACTCTGCCTCTCACCCAGGGCTGACGTCTACAGCCAGGGCTGGTTAGGCCTACAGGGAGTGAGAAATGAATCGCCATCTTCTGTGGAAGGGGGGATAGGTGGGTGAGGACTTTGTCACCCAAGATTGAAGAGAAA